ATATTTAGACGTTTTATCCTGATATCATATCACATTGTTCCAAATTTGGATTAATTATTTAATTTTTGTTTTGCCATTTCCATCGTTTATTGTTCGCTTCTGTGTTGCTATTTATTCTAGTCTGCCTGTTTCCTGAAGAAAAAAAATCCGATCTGATGTAGGCTCTAATGAATAAAACTTTTTTTTTTGATTACCCAAAGTTTATTGGTGTTCTTCTTGTATAATTCAAATTATAAATGATATAACTAAACAAATTAATAATTAATTAGGTGGAGCTGTGAGCTTGAATTTGTCACCGCATCATCCTATGCAATGTGGTGAATTAGTATTGCTCATTATTGTCTATAGGCTATTTTAGTCATTTAAATAGCATGGGTTATCTTAATATATTGATTAATTACATTGTATAGCATAAAAAAGCCTTGAACATAAAACAACAGGACAAAAATATAGTTGATGACTAGACATAATCATTTCATGACTCTAGACACTTCTTTGTGAAGACAGTAGCATAATACAGTGAAATAATATGTTCTTTAGCCATTCAAAAACAGTTGTCATGTGCGTGGGTAAAATTTACCCGCTGGCGCTTTTAGGTATACAGCGACCCCTGGCGGTTCTAGTGTTAAATATGTAATTTATACAATTTTATTTAATTACATAGTCAATTATAAGCACTTTAAAAAAAATTCATATTAATAATAATTACTGTAATTGTTTTAAATTAGCAATTTTCTAAATAGCTTCAAAACATAGGCTAAATAATTAAATATTTAATAAAATATTTAATTTATACCATTTTTATTTAATTACTTATTTAATTATACATGAATTACAAATGAATAATAATTACTGTAATTGTTTTGATTATAACATTTTCTAAATACAGCTACAAAACACAGGCTACAAGCAAAAAGTAAATAATAAAGAAAAACAAAGAGACATATTACAATCAATACATTTTTAGGCCGCTTTAAGTATCTGGAAGTTTCTAGAACTTATTTAATTATAAGTACTTTATAAAATAATTACAAACGTATAATAATTACTGTAATTGTTTTGAGGTAATTTTCTAAATATAGGCCAAATATTTAAATATTTAATTAAATGTTTAATTTATACCATTTTTATTTAATTACAAGTACTTTTTAGCAAAAATAATTACAGTAATTATTATTAATTTGTAATTAAGTCATTTTCAAATAAGGTTTCAAAAAACAAGCTAAATATTTAAATATTTAATTTATACCATTTTTATTTAATTACTTATTTAATTCTAAGCACTTTTCTTGAATAATTACAAATACAATCTTTATTGTTTTTATATAAGCCATTTTATAAATACATACTTCAAAACAAAGGCTACAAGCAAATAGTCAGTAATAAAGAAGCATATTGCCAGCAATAAACAATAGGGATGTAACGATTCACTCAACTCACGATTCGATTTGAGTCACGATTTTGATTTCACGATTCGATTCGATTCACGATTTCTTTTTTTAACAAAATGAGATTTAAGACAAATGATAAATTAAATGTGTCCTTTTATTATTGCTTGGACAAAATGCTGTACGTTTCTTTGTGAAATTTAAATATAACACTATAATAATATACTAATATAGCACTTGTAAATTATTGCTCTTTTGTTGGTTTTGATTGCTTCTATTGTCCTCATTTGTTAGTCGCTTTGGATAAAAGCGTTTGCTAAATAACAAAATTCTAATATAATGTAATGTAAATAACAAAACTACTTTTTTTTTAAACAAGCCCCAAATCAAATAAATAAGTAAAACAAATAAAATAAATTCATATAAAAAAATGTAAACAAAGAGTGCATTGCATCTCTAAGCGCTGAAAGATTCTAGACAAGCACACTGAAGGACTTTTCTGTTTTTCTAAGCATTATTGCTGATCTGTTTTGACATTTGTGATGTTTTCGGAATCCTTGAAGAGAAAATTGTGAGGCATGGAGAATCACTTTTTCTCCCACCCCTAATTAATATGCAATGGGAAAATATATTATGTGTGCTTTTATTTGACTCTCTGATCCACAGTACCGCTCTTACTCCAGCTGGTGTGGTCATAGAAACAGTATTAGAAATGAGTATAAATAAGTATAAGCCTGTATGAATGATAAACACTGCATCATCATATCACACGGGCTGTATTTAACTCTTCTGGAGCGTGTTGCCCTTTGCAGCCGTGGCCTGTGACTCGGCTCAAGCAGTCCCATAACTCACAGCCGGACGGGCGAGGACGCACCTGTCGCCCGTGTTTGAACATCAAGGTCAAGGCCTACTGTAAGTAGGGTGGCAAGTGAATAAATAGCTTCCAATGATTCTTTATGAGCAGCGAGCATTTGAAAATCGAATCAATTTGCAAGTGAAGTGACAAAACATATACACAACAATAAATATAAAAATTTCGCAGGAATACTATAAGAGATGTAATGCAATCTTCAGTTTGATCAACAATAACAAAAAAAAAAATAGTAATACAAATAAAAATAATTGTTGCTGTTAAAATAAATAATAATTGTTGTTATAATAAATACATAATAGCAGTAACTATTATTATTATTATTGTACATATAAAGTTTTGATTGATATAGTGCAGAAATACTATGAGAGATGTAATGCAATCTTCAGTTTGATCAACAATAACAACAAAAAAATAGTAATACAAATAAAAAATAATTTTTGCTGTTAAAATAAACAATAATTGTTGTTATAATAAATACATAATAGCAGTAACTATTATTATTATTATTGTACATATAAAGTTTTGATTGATATAGTCTAATGATTATTTAACACAAAATAAATCAAAACTAAAACATCAGTTCTGCATCAGGTAAATATTCTGCCAATGTATTAAAACATCCCACTATGCTATAACTGATTTTTAATAATAATAATAATAACTGTTATTATAAACTATTATTTTCATTATTATTGTGCATATTAAGTTGGATTGATTTAGTCTAACGATTATCAAAAATTTAATTATTATATAATTATAATTACATTAATTATTATATAATTGTCTAATGATTATTTATTTTACACTTTTAAATACTTCAAAATGCATTAATTCTCCCAGACAATATAATGGTCTGTCTGGCCTTTAAGTTCATAAAGCACATAGCCATTAAAGCAAAAGCAAACACACTGTGGTAAGAACGCAGCCAGTGTTTTTGTTGCTCATCTAACAACAATATTATGACTAATGTGCGCAGTCAACAGATGTTCCTCTAGACGCAGATATGAGGGCAAAACATCCTCAGTGACCTCAATGAGGCCAGTGTGTGTGTGTGTCCTGGGGCTTTGACAGGCCAGCAGTGTGTGTAAGAGATAATATACAGAAACTCTTCAGTCTAATGCCTCTATACTTCTTACATTATACACATATTTTACAGTAACATTCACAGAAATGTTATCTTCTACTGTAAACCTTAAAAAGTAGGCAAACGGCTGCTAAAGTGCCATTTCAGCCCGCATTCATTGTCTTTGTGAAGGCAATCATCTGCAGGACTTAAAGGGCCGGCTCTCACCTTGCAGCCCTCACACGCGTGAACCCCATAGTGGTATCCTGACGCGCGGTCCGAACACACGCGACACTCCAGGTTCAGAGAGGTGCAGGTGAACTCGTCCTGTCCCGCCACACCTGACGCCGGGCTGGACGCGGGAGTCAGCGCATCTGACCAAGAGAGCAAACAAAACCAAACAATGTCCTTCAACAAAACAACACAAAAAGAATTATATAATAAAATAAATGTTCAAACATTAATGATCTAGACAACACAATTAGAAAACCACTATAAGTCCGAACACACGCGACACTCCAGGTTCAGAGAGGTGCAGGTGAACTCGTCCTGTCCCGCCACACCTGACGCCGGGCTGGACGCGGGAGTCAGCGCATCTGACCAAGAGAGCAAACAAAACCAAACAATGTCCTTCAACAAAACAACACAAAAAGAATTATATAATAAAATAAATGTTCAAACATTAATGATCTAGACAACACAATTAGAAAACCACTATAATAAAATGAAATAAATAATAATATGTGACCCTGGACCACAAAATAAGGGTCAATTTTTCGAAATTGAGATTAATACATCATCTGAAAGCTGAATAAATAAGCTTCCATTGATGTATGGTTTGTTAGGATAGGACAATATTTGGTCGAGATGCAACTATTTGAAAATCTGGAATCTGAGGGTGCAAAAAAATCTAAATACTGAGAAAATCAT